CTGGGGCTCCTCTGAAGATGGTGCCGACACTCCCTGGGCAGCCCCGCCCCCCCCCTGCCCACCAGGGTCCACCCTGGCTGTGGTCCAGTTGGTTCCCACTCACCTTAAGCCTCAAAGCTGGATTCGGCCATGCCATCCCCGTCTCCCCCCTCCCCCCACCCCCCACCCCCCACTCCCCACCACACCACCAATGGCTGATCCCACGTCCGGGTCGCCTTTGGGTTAGAAGAGCTGGGGAATAGCTCCCTTGCTCTCGTGGAACCATCCATCCGTCCATCCATCCGTCCATCGGTCTGTCCATCCGTCCTTGTCCCCAGTTGGGTGCCCATTGCCACTAGCTGGCTGGGCACACCCACCCCCAACCTGGCTACCCCATCAAGGCAGCCCAGGGTGCGCGGGGCGGTGCACCTGGGGCGGCTGGAGTCTCCCCCGACCTGGGTCTCCCACACGCAGTACTGTATGCCCGGTCCCTCGCTCGAGCCACTGTACTCCCAGCATGCCCTGCCCCAGCCCCACCCGTCTCTTTGTGTCTCGCTGTGATAGAACAATAAATATTTTATTTTTTGTCCTGGATATTTGGGGATGATGTTTGATTGTCGAAGTCCTCTTTGGGTTTTGTTTTTGTGGTTCATTGCAAGTTTTTTTTTTTTTTTTTAATCTGGGGAACTATCTTCCTAGGAGAAAAAAAAGAACTCATTTTAATCACTGTGGTATAACTCCGGAAGAAATATACTCTTTTTAAAAAAAAAAAAAATAAGAAGAGAATTAACTGCTTCAGAAAAAGCTAATAAAGGAAAACCTTTGAAAGGAAATGGCTGTGGTCTCTTTCTTGCTTTGCTGTCTGCCTCCCACTCCTGAGCCTGCGCCCCAGCCACATGGCCCTGCGCACCCTGGGCTGCCTTTATGGGGTAGCCAGGTTGTGTGGAGAGCAGAACCCACGCCGACCCTAAGCACCTGCGGCCGGCCGCCTCTGGTGGTTCGTGGCTCGGTTCATCCTTTAGCAATGAAAGCGCCCGCGAGAGGAAGCGGGGCCTGGCCCGCTGCACGGCACCTTCCCCTGGACCCAAGGCCCTGAGCATGGCACCTGTGGGCAGCCTCGGAACCCAGGGTGCAGCCGGCATGGTCAGAAATGACCCTTCCACCAGGACCACAGCCTTGGCCTTGAAGAACCACCCGCCGAGAACACGGCCAATGGTCAAGGGCAGCCCAGTTCTTCCCACACCCACACCCACACCCACACCCACGTCTCTTTCTTTTAATGTTTATTTTCTTCTACTTCAAGGGCAGAGAGAGAGCAAGAGAGAGCGAGAGAGAGCTCTTCAATCTGCTGGTTCACTCCCCAGACGCCCACAACCATCAGAGCTGGGCCAGGCCAAAACCAGGAGCCTGGAACTCCACCTGGGTCTCCCACATGGGTGGCAGGGACCCAGACACTTGAGCCATCATCAGCGACCTCTCAGGACACAGTAGCGGGGAGCTGGATTGGAAACAGAGCAGGCGGGACTTGAACTCAGCACTCTGGGAGAGAGGCAAGGATAGTGACCTGACCCCCAGTGCCCTCGCTTCTTTCTACAGGGTAGGAAATGGGGCTGGTGCTGTGGCCACACCTAGAGGCACCCATTCCCAGGGAGCCGCCCCCTTCCCTTGAGAGCAGAAATCCACTAGGGCCCAGCCCCCACCACCACCACCACCCCAGACCATGCTCCCAGAACCAGGTGCTGGGTTTCCCTCCCTACAACATCCAGCATGCCCCTGGGTCCCACGAGGCTCAGACCCCACAGCCAGGGGCACATGGAGAAACCTAACGTGTGTGGCCAGGGATAGGGTGGGGAGGGAGGTTTCTTGAGGATGTATCGTGTACCAATATCCCTGCGGTGCCCGAAGGAGTTGGGACTAGGACCTTCTTGTAGTGGATGTGACTCAAGCCAAATATGTGTGGGAGGACAGTGGCTCAGTACCCGAATGATATGGCTGAGGTGCCAATACCCCGGGAGATCTATCTCAGACAGGGAGATTGATTCTGTCCTGGACACTACCTCTTACTGTCTCACTCTCTGCTGTCTGCCGCGGATGAAAGATAGTAGGATGCGAGTAATGATTTGAATCCGTCATAACAACTCTCCCAGAAA